CGATGGTAGTTATACAAAAATAAAAGAGATCCCACCAACAGCCTCGTCACACAAACCAACAAACTAATTTCTGATTCAACCGCATTAATTGATCAATCTAAACAGTTTTCGTTGAAACCTTCTGCTGCCAGGCCACCAAGATTATACGGCTTACCAAAAATACATAAAGTTGATACACCTCTTCGTCCCATAGTCTCTACTATCAGCTCCCCCACCTACAAACTAGCTCGTTTTTGTCTGAAATCCTGCGTCCTTTCACTGGAAAGACCATCTCTGCGGTACAAAATTCTACTCACCTGGTATCAACAATCAAGGGTATTTCCCTGTCCCCAGACGACCTGCTTGTCAGTTTTGATGTAGTTTCCTTATTCACCAAGGTTCCTGTACCTGACACCATTGCAATCATTGAAGACTTGGTTCATCAAGGACTAAACACTGAGGTACCCCCCCTGGTGAGACACTGTTTAACCAATACATACTTCACTTGGAATGGAACTTTCTACAAACAAACTGAGGGCACCCCAATGGGCTCCCCCTTTCTCCAGTTATAGCTAACATTTTCATGGAGAAATTTGAGACTGACGCCATCCAGACTGCCACTCTGCGCCCAACCTTATGGAAGAGGTACGTGGATGACACTTTTGTCATCTGGCCACATGGCCGGCCTGCTCTAGACCAATTCTTCGACCACATCAATTCCATACACCCAGCCATCAGATTTACCATGGAAGTCGAAATAGATGGCAAGATACCTTTTTTGGATGTCCTAATTAAAAAGAGACCTGATGGTTCAATGAGCCACTCTGTCTACAGGAAAGCTACCCATACGGATGCTTATCTGAAACCGGATTCCCACCACCATCCATCACAGAAGAATTCTCTCATCAAGACTCTGTATCATAGAGCCCAATGCATATCTGACCAGGAACACATAAGCAGTGAACTCAAGCACGTACACCAAGCTCTTAGGGCTAATGGTTACTCCGACTATACAATCCGCAAAGCTATCACTCAAACCATGAAGAAGAACCCTCTTGAGGAGCCTTTCAAAACCATCACTTTACCCTACATTGCTGGGATCACAAAAAAGATCTCCAAAATCTTGAATAAACACAAGATCCAGGTCCGTTTCAACACATTACATAAAATCCGTGATCTGGTTCCGTCTGTAAAAGATGTGATTCCGGACATACAATACCCTGGTGTCTACAAACTAAGTTGCCTCTGTGGTATTAGTTACATTGGAGAAACCAAACGCCATATCTCGGACCGCATTCGTGAACATAAAGCAGACCTTAAACACGGTAGGACCAACACCTCGGCCGTAGCAGATCATTGTTCTAATTCAGTAGGCTCACATGCCATTGACTTTTCCAAGACGGAGGTTCTTTGTAAGCCATCTGGCTTCCATGAGAGATTCGTTCATGAGGCTATCCACATATACAAACACAGAGACAATTTCAACCGAGAAGATGGATTCTATCTTAGCAATCATTGGAAAGATTTGATTAATCATTTCAGTTCTTGATTGATTGTTCACGCTTACAGTGGCTTTCAGACAGCATACATAAAAACAAATTTCGTCTCCCCCCTCCTCTTTTCAAAAAATAGATGGACTAGTCCTGGCAAACTGCCAATCGTTGCGCGTGACGCAAACGTTATTTTTATATATATATAAATAAATATGCCATTTTCAAAATACATTTATGCAAACCGACACACCTGATGATGACCGTTTGAGTTATGGTCGAAACGTCGTGAGAATTTTTTTTATTGTTTTATATATATTTTGTTATTTTGTTGTTTCTCTTCAACGTGACTTTACCGAAAAAACTAAGAATATAATTCTATATTTATTTAAAGTTGCGCATTTTGATGTGACGTCACATTTCTCAACGCCCCCCCCCCCCCCCCCCGTCACACATCGTCACAAATGTCTGACCCCCGCCCCCCCTACATGCGTGACGTCATTTATGGACGGCCCCTTTACCGAAAGAACCAAAGAGTATGTAAATGGACGTGTAGTACAAGTAGTAATCGGGCGACGACAACCGGGTGGGTGAGCGAGGACGATGACAACCGGGTGGGTGAGTGAAAATCAAAGCAGTTAAAACTTGACGTGGTTTATCACATTCTTCCAATGATTGCTCAATCTGAATCCATCTTCTCGATTAAAGTTTTGTCTGTGTTTGTATATCTGGGATGGCTTCGTGAACAATTCTCTGAAGGTGGCCCCGAGGGTTTGCAGAGCACCTTGGTCTCGGAGAAAACAATGTCACGTGTGCCCACAGCATTGAAAGAATGATCCACCACCGCTGAAGAGTTGGTTCTGCCATGTTTCAATTCCGCTTTGTGTTCGCGAACCCGGTCTGAGACACGTCGCTTCGTTTCACCAATGTAACTGCTGCCGCAGACACAAATCAGCGTATAGACACCAGGGCATTGAATGTCCGTAATCGCATCCTTCACCAATGGGATCAGATCATTGATTTTGTGTACTGTATTGAACCGAACTTCGATCTTGAGTTTGTTTAAGATTTTGGCAATCCTTTTGGTGACCCCTGCTATGTATGGCAAGGTGATGGTTTTGATTGGGTCCTCAGATGGTTTGCGAATTGTGCGGTCAGAATATACATTCCTCCTGAGAGCCTGGCATACATGTTCAAGCTCACTGACTAGGTGGTGCAAAACATAATACAAGTTTAAACGATTGAGAACCAAAGGGGTGCAAGGCTGCAGTCAAGGTTAAGAACCACTGCTTTAAAGGTTTTGTACAGTGTGTACATGGCGTTGAAGAAAGTAGGTAGCAGTGTATAATCGCTTGAAGAAGTAGATTGTCGTCGAAAGGATGGTTTAATAAAGTGTACATTGTAAAAGTACACCTGCTGTGTGTTTTATATTTGAATGCTGCTCCCCTGCTAAAACGGCGTGATGTCAAAAGGTCATTGCCACTGATGCCACCGCACTGCGCCATCGCTTCCCTCCTGCTGCTGCTGCTCTGCTGCTCGACCTCTGGGCTGTAGAGGCGGCCTCCTGATGACTCAGCGGTCAGAGTGCTGAGCTCACACGGTTTGGGGTCTTCGGTTCGAATCCAGGCGGCCACCTGTGATCCAGGCAGCCACCTGAGATCCAGGTAGCCAGATCCAGGCGGCCGCCTGAAATACAGGCAGGTGGCTTCCTAGTGTATTGACATCGCGGGATGTCAGTGTGTAGTGCCGGCCCTAGAGAGGCACGGCGTGCGCTGTATTGACATCGCGGATGGCACTATGGTGTGGGTGTAGTACCGGCCCTAGAGGGGCTCGGTCAGCGCTGATTGATAGTGCTGGATGGCACCATGCTTGGCGTACAGTGCTGGCCCTACAGGAAAAGTGTGCCGGCCGTAGGAATGAGGTTACTAAAGGCCATGGCACTCTGGTCAACCCGAGAGGACACGTGACCAGTTAAGTCTACAAAGGGGCCCCAAGTGGGGGCTAGAGGTGGTCACGTGGTCGGGATCCAGATCCTGCTCCAGGATTCTGGAAGGTGGTCGTGACCAAGGGCGGAGCCAGCCACGCTGGAGAGAATATAAGCCGGGTCCCCCAGAGGGACCGGCGTTGTTGTTCATCCAGAAGAAATCTTCGTCTACATCCTACGTTCTACATTCTCTAAGTCTCCAACACGTGGACCTGGACCTGAGCTGCGGTCCCAGTACACGTGTTACCTCAAAGTCTATGACTCAGAAGAACTCACTACAACTGGTGTCGGAAGTGGCCAAACGTTCTTTTGTCAGTAAGATTCGCCGAGTTAGGTTATGCATATGCTACGCAGACTACATACCAGGACGTTGTCGGACGACGAGGATGGCAAAGGCGTTATTCCTCAGACAGCCCCGAAGATGGCGACCCCGTAGAAAGGGGGTAAGGCGCCGTCGGCAGAGCATCGTGACGACCATCCCAGCGACAGCTCACCACCGTCGGGGAAAGAGCGCCGCACATCCCGCTCCTGCCTCGCTGAACTCCTCGAGCCCGTGGCTGCGATGGTAACGGAGCTCGACCGCAAAGAGCCAGCGATGGAGGAGAGAGCACCGGAGCTGCGCGGGGTCGAGCATCCCGTCACCGTTTCCCTCCGTGGTGCAGCCCGTGCAAGTGGCCGCCATTTTGTTCGCGGAGCGGGGTGGAGAGCCCGCCAAATCTGAAACCGCTCTCCGTGCACCCCCCCCCCCCCCCCCCCACGAAGGCACGCACGCCCCCACTAAACACTCATAAGCACTCACATGCACCCCCGTAGGGTCTGGAGGGGGGGCCCCCGGGTCCGATGGGTTTTTACCCGAGGACCCCTTAGGGATGTTCCACGGTTTCCCCGGACCCGGAGATTGGCCGGACCCCCCCCCAGGCCGGATTACATGGCGGGCCCCCCCAAAATGGGGCATAGAGCTTTACAGGCAGGCCGCGATTAGGCATACACGACACGGAGGGGGGGGGGGGGTTCCGAGGCAGACGCCCCTGCAGACAGCGTAAACAGTGGGGGGGCGGGGGGAAATCCCCACGGGCGCCCCGGGTGTGTATTCGGCGAGCGGCATCCAGATTAAGTGGTGAGTCAGCGATAAGGAACGCCGCTGCAAGGACAATGGAAGGGGGGGGGAAGAGGGGGGGTGACGTAATTAATTCCAAGAGCGGCGATTTAAACAATATTACGTAATCCGCATGAGTGGGGGGGGGGGCGCACGCGTAATCAACCCCTAGGCGGTGTCTGCCAGCCGCTAGCTGTGTCAGTCAGAGAGGGCGCTGTAACGGGGGAGCCGGTCATCCGGTCGGGGGCCCAGCGAGACGCGAACGAGGAGGGGGCGGACGTCGCGCCCCACCCGCTCGAGGGGAGTGAGGAGGGGGAGATCAGCCCCCACATAATGGGGAGTGGGGAGGGGCCCATTAGCCCCCACAAAACTACATAGAGAGATCATGAACACCCACGTATCGTGTGTGTGTTTTGATAGATTTTCAAAGCACCGTAAATGTCAGGATCATTTGGTTTTGACATTCGAGATTAAACATGAGGTTCTTTCGAAATAAATGTGCTTTCTTTGAAAGGTCGCACCCTAATTTAAACGTATTTGTCAGAAATGCAAGTCAGCCCATCAAAAGGGCTCCCTATCCCCCCAGCCATGGCCTTGTGTATATAAGGAGACCTACCGGGACCTGGTCTCACCAGGAGCAGCACGCACACACAGAGAGAGGGGGTCACTGACAACCAGTGAGAGCCCCTTCAGCATCATGGACAAAGATCACGTCCTGGGTAGCGACATCTCTTCGGTGAGACCCGCGAGCCAGACGACAACCACAGACATCTCGGATCCCCACAGCCTTTAATAAGATGCACTTTTTATTGTTGTTTTGTTTTCGCTCGTACGTTTCAGTTGTAGTGGCTGTGTGATGCGCTGTGTTCGTGTGGTGGTAATTATCACGTGCTGTGTTGTTGTCAGTGGTGGTGATTATTGCTTTATCGGTGGGGTGGTGGTCATGTTTTTTGGGCGTCACGGTGGCTGTGAGATGTTAACTACCTCGAGGAGGTCGTGGGTTCGATCCCGACCCTGACGTCTGCTGTATGTTTGTAGTTTGCGGTGTCACTCTCCTCGTGGTCGCGTGGATAGTTCTCCGGCTCCTCCGGTTTTCCCCTCCACATTAACAATGAACATCACGCGTTTAGAGTATTTGGCTGCTATAAATGTCCACATGATGATACGTCACTTCGTTGAGCTCTCATTTGTGGCCAGGTCAGTCGCTTCTGAAAAAAAGCTCCAGATTTCAGTGGGCTTTGCCTGGTAAAATCTAAATTAGTTTTCAGTTTGCGTTGTGATTGTTTCAGTCGTCCAGGTTCAGCCGCAAGTTCATCGTCATCTCCGCGACGCTGCTGCTGCTGATCGTGGTGGTGGTGACGGCCGTGCTACTGGGGGTCTTCATTGGGGGCAAGAACGCAACAGAGGTGTCTGCGCGTGTGGTAGTGTAGCGGGTAGCGCGCAGCGCTACAAACCCGGCGACCCGGGTTCGATTCCCGTTCACGGCCCAACACCACAGTGAGGTCGACTCAGCCTCAAATGAGTACCTGGTACGACGTGTAAGCATCGCCGCGAGTGAGACAAAGACGGCTGGGTGTGGTGTTGGCCACCCACCAACTCGTGTGCCATGCCGGCCTTCATAGGTGCTCGCTAACAGCACTTGCCCCAACAGTCTGCTACAGGCTATACGGGGGATTTCTGTCTTTGTCGACAGAGTTTTAGAATTTCCGTATTTGGATAGCGTGCATGCTTACAACCGGCTCCGGTTTGGGAGTGATCTCACTTTGATGATTCAATTATTGGATCTTCATTTAAATCCTGTTGGAGATATCACGGGCTTATCAAATATTTCACCGCCAGATTAAATGGCTGATATAAAAACAAGAATGGGCGCGTGGCTTCAGAAACGTTTCCTAGACTCCTAGACTCGAGGCTACTGGGAGGTGGCAATTTCACATGTTGATGTAGCGGTAAGTCTGGCTCAGCCATGATGTAATTGTACACTAAAGAGTACGGCAGTATCTCGCAAGATGTTCGATAGGAGGATGCTGAAGAGTGGCGGTAGCCATGGCAGTTGGTGTAGATCGGCGTTCTTCCTTGCAAGTCCCGTGAGCCACTGTCGGCCACTGATGGCCGTCAGTGTGGCCCCGCCTAAGAGTGAAAACACCACCCCATCATCATCACCATCGTGCTGTCAGAAACCCAACAATGGTTTCAAATGTGTGGCAGCCCTCACACTGATGATGTCTTATCGGCCAAAGTGACCCCCCCCCCCCCCCCACCTCTGAAAATTATTGAAGAACACTGATTTAGATGGACGTGTGCCACTGACCTGTCTCCGAGTGATGTCGATTTGTGTGTTCACACTCAATGTACCGGCTGTTGTATATTTGTATTTTGTGTGTGTATATTCATGCTTACATGAGTACGTGTGTGTGTGTGCAGCTCTACCAGTTCTCCGTGAATAATAATGACGGCAAAGTTGAGCAGCAGACGGTGCAGGTGAATCCGAAGGAGAACATCGCCACCTTCTACATCCAGAGTGCCAACCTCTCCTCCACCGTGCTCCTCGACTACAACACGGTAAGTCCACCACGCAGTAGCAGCAGCATCATCACCATCTCATTCACCTCCAGCAACCAACACCGCCACTACCTTGAACATCATCTCCACCAACACCTCCGACACTACCCTCGTTCAACACCTCCACCAACTGCAGCACCATTTCCACCAACACTCACCTCCAAAATCACGTCCAGTAATATCTCCAGTATCATCTCCATCAAGGCAACCACCATTTACACTAAAGACCCCCCCCTATGAAGGCACACGAGGGGGTGGGTGGTCATTAATTCGATAGCAGCGATGCCGATGATGATTACGATCGTGATGATGTTCGCCAGATGCTGATGGTGCTGAGAACAAACGACCTTGACAGCTGCTACGTTCGGAAAATGGAGGGCGGAAACTTCACGTCGCTGTCAGATCTCAGCAACAGCCTCAAGAACCTCAACGTGAGACCGGCAACCACTCAAGAGTAGCGCCATTACCAAGAGCACCACTACCTCACCTCGAAACAAAGACATGAGAATGCCTGTATAACCATTAACAGATTGTTGGGGCAAGTACTGTTGGCAAGCCTGGTATGGAGGAGGTCGTGGGTTCGATCCCGACCCTGACGCCTGCTGTGTATTTGGAGCTTGCGTGTCTCTCTCCCCGTGGTGGCGTGGAGTTTTCTCCGGGTCCTCCGGGTTTTTCCTCCACGTTTATAAACACGCACTTAAGAGTATTTGGCTATTCTCAATTTCCACGGAATTAGCCACTTATTTGAACTAGCTATCATTTGCGCCCAGGTCGCTTCTGAAAAAAGAGCTACATAGCTCTGTGGGCCTTACCCAGTAAACTAAATAAAATAGTTATTGTAAATTAGTAAGGCTAGAATGGCACACGAGGCGTGGTGTGGCCTATACCACGCCCCATTGCTGATGTTTACATACCACACCAGGTACTTATTTAAGGCTGAGTCCACCTAGGGGAGGCCCAGGACTGGTTCAGATAATCATCACCGATGGTGGCCGTGAGCAGGAATCGAACTCGGGTCGCTGGGTTCGTAGCGCAGTGCTCTAACCATTACACTAACCACAACTAATACCAGAACCTCTACCACAAAAACACTCCCGCAATCAGCACTTATACCAGCTCCACCACAACCACCACTCGCACCATGGTGGTAGTCGCAGTGTTGATTATTGTGTCACAGGGTAAGCCAGTGCAGGAGAGAGACAACTCAAGCTCCATATCGTTCGTCCCCGGTCCCGAGATCTTCGACCGATCCCTGTTCAGCCGCAGCGCCAACCTCCTCTGCCAGGACGTGAGATCGTTCTGGCTCGTCCAGGGCGGTGAGTACATCTCTGAGTACACAACCCAACGCAGATGACAGAGCTGAGTACGGACCTTGGCAATGAGAATTAGGCGCTGACTAGAGAACAATGCATGTCTAGGCTGCGCGTTCGGGCTTTCTAACACGAGGCGGACACTTAGTTATTAGACAATATACTTTACATTCATGCTCAGGTTAGGTGTCCGGGTAGTTCAAAGGTCAAAGCTCTGAGCTGGCATCGATCGCTGAGATCCTGGGTTCGAATCCAGGCCTGTGATTAGACCGGGTTCTTCTCAGCGTGTTGATGGTCTCGACTTGGCCACCCAATCTCCATGGTTTTGTAGTGGGTTCCATGAGACCGGAGACGGAGTCCTTGAGGCAACACGTTTATTTAATACAATTGAGTGATACACGGGTCCCTAACACAGCGGGGTAGCGGCCCCTCTACCCAATACCCGGGGAGGTATAGCCTCCGGGCTAGCGTGTCCTATCACTGGGGCTAGTACTCTCAACCCTCCGGCTAAGGGGACCTATGGGGAGGCTATCTGACCCGACCCAGCCAAGGACCACGGGTCCCGACCACTGGCCCACTCGGTCCTGGCCCTTAGAAGGACGTCGGGTCTGGGGGTTCCCAGGGTCCTAGCCTAGCTGGTCTTCTTTCTTCAGCTTGACGAAGACTGCCGGACTCATCCAGAGGTCCGGCTTTTATACCCGTGCCAGGGTCTCTCCGCCCCTGGCCACGCCCCCCCCCGCTCTTGGCCACGCCCCCCTTCTTGAACTCTCTAGGGGGCTCTGGAATATCCACCCCAACCCCTCTCTTGGGGCTGGGAGAGCCTTGTGTCCCAACGGCCCGGCTCATCCTGCCCATCCCGGGTTACCACCCCCTATGGACACGTGTCTGCTACTACAGGAAAGTGTGCATAACAATGCTATATACAATTCCTTACAACGACGCTACAGTTGTATTGTCATGCGATGACCATTTCTCTCTGTAGCAGCCACCTGAGGTAGCCAGGAGATGGCAGTACATCAATGGATTGTTAATTCTGTCAAGCCATTGCATGCCAATTTGGACAACGAAGATGATGACGATGACGGGATGATGGTTCATGGTCGAGACTAACAGCAGCCAAAGGAGGGAACGCGCCCAAAACGGCATCCACTGCCGAGATGTTAACTACCTCGCCTGGTACACAGGAGGTCGTGGGTTCGACCCCAGCGCCTTCTGCTGTATATTTGGAGCTTGTGTGTGTGTGTCTCTCTCTCTCTCCCCGTGGTCGAGTGGATTTTTTTCCGGGTCCTCCGCGTTTTCCCCTCCACGTTTAGAATCAACGTCACCACGCGTTTAGAGTATTTGGCTGCTGTACATTTCCACGTGTTAAGCCACTTCGTTGAGCCATCATTTGTGGCCAGGTCGCTTGTGAAAAATACCTGCATAGCTCAGTGGGTCTTACCTGGTAAAAAAAAAGTTGAGTTTATTAAATCAGCTCGCATGCATGTGGCAGGTGGATTACACTGAGAGATGGCGTGGTGATGATTCCGAGGATGGCACGGCTATGTTTATTGAACCGGCTGTAAATGGAATCCTGAATGAGCAAATAAGAGAACTGCAAACTCACATCTGTGTTGCTTCTTTCTCTTCTGTGACAGACCCCAACACCCGGCGACTATGCATCAAGTGGCGGATCAAAATAAGAGTATGTCTCCGCCATCGGTGTGTTTATATCTTGGTGTGCATTTCATGGTAGCGTTATATTTTGTTGGTAAGGCCCTGTGTTAAGTTCATCAATGTGGGTGAAACGAGTAATCGGGTCACGGTGATTTATAATCTTAAACTACACGCGGGGTTTGTGCGCTTCTGCTCTCTCTTGGCTTTCACGTCACAACTCGTCCAAAAATCACCCTTCCGAAACCCACCGGTTGGAAACTGTCATGAGGCCTAAAGTAACAAAAAGTTCAGCATATTATCTCCCCACCACCACCACCACCACCAATTTTCTTCTGCCCAAAATTGAACATTTTCCCTTTTGGATGGCTCTAGTTACAACTACAGTATATGTACATGTAGCTGATCTGCTGTGTCCCCTCTTGAATCCTAAATAGACAGCAACAACAGCGCTAAAAATTAGAAAGTTCGGAGACGATGAGGAGTGGTCACTCTGCGCTCTGTTCTGCCCTCCGGGAGAAGTGGGGCAACTCAGAAGGGCAATCGCGTGTCTGCAATATCTGCAATAGCGATCGGAGGGACACCCTCCCACATCACAACAACACCGCAGCCGAATTCCTCTGCTAATGGGATTGAGCGGCGCCAGTGTTAATATTTTAGACCCAAATATTACGAGTATTTTGCATATTCAAATCAACTTTAATATCAAAGTCTTCATTGTGCATATATTAATTAACCACCAGCAACTCAATCGACAGCCAATTAACATTACCGACTTCATGTCGGTCGATTGACATTCAAGTAATATCAATTAAAGTTACATGCAACTTACCCGTCCAGAAGTTTGTCCAAATCTAAATTGGGCGCGTGCACGTGGGGACCCGGGCTCCAATCCCTGATCACGACTGCTTTCTCTTATCATCATCATCATAAAGAAACGCACCTGGCTACCAGTAGCTATGCAAAATGGTTTGTTAGGTTCCCATATGCTACAGAGTGCACAATTATACAAGAAATCACGGGGAATGCTCCCCAATGTCATCAGATCGCAGCAGACGCACGCGATGATTGAGCCTAAAGGGGGTTTGTTAAATCTATTGGACGGGTAAATAAAAACAACAACAAGTCAACAATAAACGGAGAGCGATGATGTTTCTCCCCCACGGAAAGAGGTCTTCGACAAACCAAACGCATTCGGCACGGAGCGAGTTACCTTGAGGTCGGTGTGAGCGACACGGGACGTCGTTCATCCAATCACAGGCAGTTACGATCACAACACTGCAGTAAAACAACAACAGCAGCAACAACGATAATAAAGGACTGTAGTTTGGGGTTAGATCGCGTAAATGTAAAGGTGTGTCGTTCACTCACCACCACCCGACACAGCCAATTAGTGAGGTTTGTCACGTAAACGAAAACGCGCAAATTAGTTTAGGACTTCAGCGCACCGGTTGTGTGTCGGAGAGTAAACCCCGCACCATTTACAATTTTAGTACTGCGACGTTTCGCTCGTGATTACAACAACAACAACAATCAGCCTAATCAGGCGAATTGCCACAAACGTGTAAACCACAGCAAGCGGCACCATGAGTGGCCGCTACAGAGAAACAGCAGACGTCCTTCATATTGTACGAATACACTTTTGACTTTTTAAAAATACGCTTCGTTATTCTCTTTGTTCGTCGCGTGTGAACAAAAAATAAAAATGTTACTTCACCAAACCGCACGTGCGCGTGGAAGTGACTCGTTACCGCTCGCCGTTATAATCGCAGGAACGCGATCCACACGCGCGCAGCGCGCCCAAAACAATCCCGAGGGAGCGGTGCGCGCGATGGTTCGGGGGGCGCCGCTCCACTGCGGAACCCTCCACCACCTGAGTTCGATCGAGGGCCGCGGCGAGCGTCAGTGGCCAGCGGTGTGTGAACACGTGCGAGAAGTGCCCCTTCACGCACGTGGTCACGTCAACAACACCCCCGGTGGCTGGAACAGCGTGGGGAAGGTCCTCATCCAACAGTGGATTGACAAGGAGGGGACTCATCTTCTTGGATCTTTCGAAAGAATCCCTGCAGTCACGAAAGCTTTAAATCGAAATTTAAGGAGGGGGCTGTACATGCTTACAATTGAGCATCAGGCGTGCAGTCTTTTATTGAGCGCATTGTACCCCAACTGCAGGTGGGCATGGGATTGGAGCAAATGTGAACTCGTCGAGCGAACAAAGACATATTGCTTGTCCGGCAGGCTGGTGCAGTGGTAACATCCGTGCCTCAAAGCAAGAAGGCTGCTCGGTTCGATTCCCAGTTTGGGCACCGATATCTGTGTGTGGAATTTTCCCGTTCTTTCCCACTGTTCTCCATGGGTTTCCTCTCGCGACTTAACAAAAAAAATCCCCGCACATTCCACTCAACGTAACTCCGCAATGGCCAAACATCCCAATACTCTTTGGTTTTTCGGTAAAGTCACGTAGGTAAAATAAAAATAAAAGAAAACAATTAAATCACGACGTTTCGGAGGCAACACAAGCTTCCGTCTTCAGGTGGAACAGTCACAGCAAAATAGCTGCATCAAGTGGGGAGGCTCTGAGAGCCTCGAGCTTAAATACAGGTTGGGGGGGGGGGAGCCAAGTAGTGCACATTGATGTTGTGCGGGGCTAAGTTAATCTGTCTTTTGTTATGTTGAGGGTGCGGTGGATCCGGTGGGCCACTGCACGGGGGCAATGGAAAAATGGAAACAAAAAATGGAAAAGTTCAGAAAGAATATGCTATGTGCTTATAAGGTAGCTAAAGTTTTGACTTGGTTTATGACATCTTTCCAGTGGTTGCTTAATTTAAAACCATCCTCTCGGTTGAAGTTGTGTCTATGTTTGTATATCTGGATGGCTTCATGGACAAATCTCTGGTAATAACCGGGAGGTTTGCATAGAACTTTGGTATCGGAGAAACAATCTCATGAGAACCCGCTGTGCTGAGACAATGATCTGATCAGCTACAGCCGACGAATTCGTTCTGCCGTGTTTCAAATCTGATTTGTGCTCGCGAATTCGGTCAGAAATATGTCGTTTTGTCTCCCCGATATAACAGTCACCGCAGATACAACTCAATTTGTAAACACCGGGGTACTGTAAGTCAGGGATGACATCCTTTACGGATGGGATCAGATCACGGATTTTGTGTACTGTATTGAAGCGAACCTGGATCTTGTGTTTGTTTAGAATTTTGGAAATCTTTTTGGTAACGCCTGCTATGTATGGCAGTGTGATGATTTTGATCGGAGTGTCAAGTGGTTGTTTCTGTATGGTGGGAGAAACAGCTTGGCGGATAGTACGGTCAGAGTATCCGTTCATCTTGAGGGCTAGATGTACATGTTTTAATTCACTGGTCAGGTGGTGTTGGTCAGAAATGCAATGAGCTCTATGGTATAATGTTTGGATGAGAGAATTATTTTGAGCCGGGTGGTGGTGGGAATCAGGCTTCAAGTAGGAATCTGTGTGGGTGGACTTCCTGTAAACAGAATGTCCCAAAGAGCCATCCGTCCTCCTCTCAAACAGAACATCCAAGAATGGCAGCTTGCCATCTTTCTCCACTTCCATGGTGAATTTGATGGATGGGTGTCTGGAATTGATGTGGTCTAGGAAATGGTTCAAAGCTGGGAGGCCATGTGGCCAAATGACGAACGTGTCATCCACATATCTCTTCCACAGGGACGGACTAAGGGTGGATGTCTGGATGGCGTCTGATTCAAATTTCTCCATGAAAACATTGGCTATCACTGGTGACAAGGGGGAACCCATAGGGGTACCCTCATTTTGTTTGTATAAGGTGCTATTCCAAGTAAAGTAGGTGTTGGTGAGGCAGTGCCTAACCAGCGCAGATATATCAGGGTCCAGTCCATGTTGGACCAAATCTTCAATTATTGTTATGGTATCAGGTACTGGGACCTTGGTGAACAGGGAGACCATATCAAAGCTTACGAGGATATCATCAGGAGATAGTACAATGTCTTTGACCATAGAAACCAATTGGGTTGAGTTAAGTACTGCTGAGGTGGTCTTGCCAGTGAAGGAAAGCATAGTATCTGACAGAAAACGGGCTAGCTTGTAGGTAGGGGAGTTGATCGTCGACACGATGGGCGTTCTTCGAGACTACCTGCAGATTTCATTCGGAATGCCTGAAAAGTCGGGCAGTAGCCACTCAGACTATCCTTTCATTTTTAAGAACCTGCCTGCATATTTGACTCGCAGTTTGTTCTGTAACGCGGTTGTAGTTGCATCCCTGAAGAACAACGCGTTATGGAAAAATCGCGTTATGATAAATAATATACAATACTAGCTTTACTACCTGGCTTCGCCCGAGACTTGGATTTTTGTCTTGGATTAATACACGGCCTCCGCGGAGGGAGGGGGAGAGGATGCGTGACGTCAGCAGGCACACTGCGTGACGCTGCCGCATGCGGGTGACATCACAGATATGACGTCACCGCTCACTAGCCGTGCAAAATATATACATTATTGCGCCCCCCTTCCCCCCCCCCCCAAATACAAAAGTCTATTTTTATACTTTTTGCATTGTGTACAGTCTGGAAGCTACCCACATGCAAAATTTCAAGTTTGTTGCATGTTGGGAAGGATGCTAATCATTTCAAAAAGACACACATTCATACATTTTCCTTTTATATACGTAGTGGAGTAGAAAGGTGCGTATTGCATGGAAACTTGAGACAATGCGGGTTATGTTGGGTCAGCCTGTTGTGAAGGCAAAGTCATTGGGGTTATGTTGGGTCAGCCTGGAACGAAGGCAAATACAGTGCAGGTTACGTTGGGGCAATTAAGCTGGGAGAGCTGGGGCTGTTGCCGGGGCTGGAGAGGCGTCTTGAAGTCTGGCGAGAAACAGGTGTACGGATCACGCGAGGTGCCGTTGGGCCACGGACTAATTAATTGGAGCGTAATGAGAGCGGGGATAAATTGGGGGGTCGACAATTGGAGCGGGAGTTGGAGTTGGGAGCTGGACGAGGCAAGACGTGGAGTTTGGAGGAGAGTTTGGAGACAGAGTGGGGGACAGATTTTGGAGACAGAATTGGAAACAGAGTTTGGAGACGGAGTTGGAGACGGAGTTTGGAAACAAGAGTGTGGAGCGAAGCTGAAGAAGAGAAGCAGCTAGCAGTAGAGACAGCGTAACGATAGCGGAGCTGAAGAAGATAAGTAGTTAGCAGTGGAGAGAGCGTAGCGATAGCGGAGCTGGAGACGAGAATACCCAGTAGTGGAGAGAGCGTAGCGATAGCGGAGCTGATGACGCTGTGTGCGAAGACGCTGAGTGCGAAGACGCTGTGTGCGGAGTTGCTGAGTGCGGAGTCGCTGAGTGTGAAGTCGCTGAGTGCGGAGCAAGCGAAGTAATCGTGGGGAGTGGAGAGACAAAGGTGGCGAGCGAGTCGAGTGAAGCACGGCGAGCGAGCCGTGGCGACCAGGATACCGTGGAATGTGGAGGACATGCTGAGAGTTGTAGATAAAGCGGTGTTCGAAGAAAGACAGAAGTTGTCCGAGTGAAATCGAACACTACATATATATAGATGGGGGTAAGCACAGTCCGCGACATCACGTGAGACGTGTACGCAGGCCGAACAAAGACTGAGACGCGTGGGTAGCGTCTCGAAGCATCCAGCAGCATCCCAATGCCCCGTGTGTGGCTACGCCTATGGCAGCCGTACAAGCTGCATATTCCTACTCGCGGGCCACAGTTCTGTTCACTCAATCGCGTTACTGTATATCCAGTTCGCATCAGCGTCATAAAAAACGTTTTCCCTAATACGTTAATCGCGTTATATCCCATGAACACACGCGTTATAGAGAACAGACCGTATCCCTCAAATACCCTGAATAAAAAATAGATGAGTGTTTGGCGTGCACCAACAATGGAAAAAGTAATGATGACGCGGTCCAAAAGTGAGCTTTCACCTTCGCAGTTTCATGCACACGTTACTGATTACTCAAAAAAAAAACGCCGGTTCAGTGATTAAAGCAGCAGGATAGACCATTAAGAAACAAAATAATTGAAAGTTGCAATCACTCTATGGAATATCTTTATTAAAATACGTGGTCATTCAATTGAGTACATTTCAAACGTGCGCTCGTTGTTTTCAGATAATGCATTCCTACAATGGAAAAACAAAACACCCTATACTATTTGGAAAACAATATAGAAAGTCTGTGAGGAGAAAAAAAAACGCCCTCTGTATATGTAAAAACAAACATAAGCCTTGGAAATACACGGAAATCGTTCCCCTTCATTAGCCAGCCTGGCAAACTCTTGCTCAATGTCCTTAAAATCCAGGGGCCCAAAAATCAGACACTTTCGCTCCTTAGCATCTCGTTGAGTAAGAGCAACCAATCAATCGTCATCTCCATAAGAGGTTTTTGTTTGTTTGTTTGTTTAGATCGCCTAAATATAAATGTGTCATCAAACCCGCCACCACCCGACACAGTCAATAGGTAAGGTTTGCCACGTAAACAGAGCGTTACGAGTTCAGCACACCGGTGTGTTGGAGAGTAAACCCACTACAACATTCACAATGCCCGCAATATTTACAATGCAATTCGTCCTGATTTTGGCAGTGCTGGTGCAGTTTCAGAAAATGCTGTTGCGGTTTCGAGAAGCGTCAATTTTAAAATCGTTTCTCTGTCCTCACTCTCGCTCGAGCTCGTGATGCGGGCGAGAACACCGCAGTGATGGCCGGGGTGGGCAGAGGAATCGGCAGGACCAGGAGCCGTCACTCGTTGTGGGGTCCAAGGGGTGACCGGGCCAAAACTACGAGCTGGGGCCTCCCTTGACAACCGCCGTGAGATTTGTTTTCAACAACAGTGTAAAGAAACAAAAACGCGGTTTAAATGTATTATAACATTTTTCATGAAGAGTGCTTTCACGTTAAGTTCCACGTTTGATTTGAATGTAATTATGGCAGTAGCGTAATACTGCAGAGAGTTAACACGGAGCTGTAATGGCTGCATTTCTTGCGAAGACGAAGCGCCCCTCTACAGCGTTAAATGTTCGACGATGTGGTCAGGGCAAGGGGAACCGCCATACAGGACAGCCTCTCGGTGTGGCCGTGTGAGACAAATCCAATATTGGGGGTCCCCACCTGACCAATTGCTGCACCCGCCTGAGTTGATAATTTCGCTACTACGCCACTGATAATGTAGTTACTACGCCACTGATAATGTAGTTACTACGCCACTGATAATGTAGTTACTACGCCACTGATAATGTAGTTACTACGCCACTGATAATGTAGTTACTACGTCACTGATAATGTAGTTACTACGTCACTGATAATTTCGCTACTACGCCACTGATAATGTAGTCACTACGCCACTGATAATGTAGTTACTACGCCGCTAATAATGTAGTTACTACGCCACTGATAATGTAGTTACTACGCCACTGATAATGTAGTTACTACGCCACTGATAATGTAGTTACTACGCCACTGATAATGTTGTTACTACACCACTGATAATGTAGTTACTACGTCACTGATAATGTAGTTACTATACCACTGATAATGTAGTTACTACACCACTGATAATGTAGTTACTACACCACTGATAATGTAGTTACTACGCCACTGATATAATGTAGTTACTACACCACTGATAGTGTAGTTACTACACCACTGATAATGTAGTTACTACACCACTGATACTGTAGTTACTACGCCACTGATAATGTAGTTAATACGCCACTGATAATGTAGTTACTACGCCACTGATAATGTAGTCACTACGCCACTGATAATGTAGTTACTACACCACTGATAATGTAGTTACTACACCACTGATAATGTAGTTTACTACACCACTGATAATGTAGTTACTACGTCACTGATAGTGTAGTTACTACGTCACTGATAGTGTAGTTACTACACCACTGATAATGTAGTTACTACGGCACTGATAATGTAGTTTACTACGCCACTTATATGGTTCGAGGATGCAATATATTTTAACCTGTGAATTTCCCGTATCACGTAAAATGTGCAGATAGATGGATTCATGACTGTAGTGGGAAGGAAAAGTTCAATGGTGATTATGATCATGCGTGCGCCCATGTGGTAGAGACAGTGCTAACGATGAAGCCACTCGCATTGCATTCAGAGTTCTCATTGGGTCTCTCTGTGAGTCTATGGATTTCTGTGTAAGTCTATGGGTCTTTGCAAGTCTATGGGACTCACTGTGAGTCTATGGTTCTCTCTGCAGGTCTATGGATCTCTGTGTGAGTCCATGGATCTCTCGAGCTGATGATGAAGCCACTGCCACCCATTCCTTTCCAGTCATTAAGTGAATCCACCTGCATGCCTCATCACCTGAGATTTTAAATTTCCATCCCAACATGCAGTTTTTAGCCTCCTCAATCTGGAGTCAACCTTCCATTTACGCAGCATTGATTAGTCATTGGTCATTTGTCTCTGGGGTGGTCGGGTGATTGGAAACTTGTTTCTGAGTGGTCAGGTCATTGGAAATTGGTCTCTGGATGGTAGGGTCACTGGATATTGGCCTATGTTTGGTAGGATTATTAGAACATTGGCATCTGAGTGGTTGGGGCATTGCCAGGCCTGGTCACAAGACCTTCTCTCCGAGTCCATCGTTAACGAAATGGGATGGTGACACCAATGGAGCAGGGGATGATGCTGCACACCGTGACAACGGCGTTCTTGATTTTGCTCCACCACCCACGCGTGGTCGGGTCTGCAAAGAGAACGGGAGAGGAGGGGGTTGAGAGGAGCCGTGGTCGACGCTGGGTCCCTTCAACGAGTAAGCAAGGACCTCTCGCAGTGACGGACGGCGACCGCGATGTGTGTTAACGTGCGGCAGCACCGCAAGTTTATTTGCAAGTGCTCTTTGGCCCATCGATAGGTGGAAAAGGTTCCCCACCCGCATTCTACTCTGTGTCGTGAGTTCTGCACTCTGTCGTCTTCTCTTCAGCATTGGGTCCTGTGCTCAGGAACTGTACTCAGTGTTGAGTTGTGTACTCAGAGCCGTACTCACTGCCCTTGACGAGCCAGAATGTTCTGACGTCCTGGCAGAGGTGGCCGGAGCTGCGGCCGAACGGGGATCGGTCGAAGATTTCTGGACCCGGAACGAAGGAGGAGGCCTCCGAGTTGTCCTTCTCCTGAACCGTCTTACCCTGTGACAAAACCATCATCAACATCGTCACCGTCATCATCCTTCATCGCTGTCATCTCTCTCCTGCACTATTTGATATTTCATTATCATCATCATTAGCAGCAGTAGGAACAACATCATTATCATTATCATAAATTCTAGGAGCATCACCACCATTATTAATCACAGCATCAATCATCAATACCAGTGGTGCTAATGGTGCCAGTGATGGTGTTGGTTCGTGTTGTTCGTGTTGTTGGGCTCACGTTGAGATTCTTGAGGCTGTCTCTCAGCTTAGAGAGCGACGGGAAATCTTCGGCGCCAATTTCCCGCACGTAGCACTCGCCCGGGTCGTTCGTTCTCATCACCACGAGGTTCTACAAAATGTCAACATCACCGTAGACATCATCATCATCATCACCAACATCACAGTCATCATCAGTATCGTCCCAATCGTCAACATCGTCAACATCACCATGACCATCAAATCATCATCATCATGATAATTTGTCTATAAATAAATCTTTATTTACGTGCCAAAATTCCCCTCAATAAAGTAGGCATCAGTGCATATTGATGCGAGAGTGCATTGTGTTAGGAGCACAATAGTAATTTTCGGCTGTCACTACAGATGTGGTTATGACTAAGAACAATATTGGCATTGTTAATATACTCCATGTCTTTAAAATGAAAGGTTGCGAGGATACTAAGGTTCAAGAGGATTGGTGGTGGTGGAGGTGATGATGATGATGATGGTCGTGGCATGTACGATCTGCGATGTGGTGAAGATGGCTGTGGAGTTTTTTTTTTTTTTTTTTTATAAATGGTGGTGTATAAAGATCCATGTATGGTGGCTAGTGCTGTGGTTGTGTCTCCAAGGTTTGGCAGTAGGTGTTGAATGTGGTAAGTGATGTTAGGTCATGGGCAGTGGAGGTGGTAGAGTTCGTGAAGGCGTTGGAGATGGAGGGGCTGATGGTGTAAGTGTTACATGTTGAGGTGTTACTCAAAACCTGAGAGGTGGCAATGGAAGTGATATCAGAATTGTAGACACTGGAGGTAGTGACAGAAGTCCAGAATGGTGGACGTCACGTTGCAGGTCTAGGAGGTGGTGGAGTTAACGGCGGACATGTAGATCATGGGCATGGTGTAGCAGTTAGAGGTCGAGGAGGTGTTGGGGATGCTCATAGATGCGGGCCATGTGGAGGGTTCTGCTGTGGGAGCTGGGTTCTTGGCTGCAGATGTTGTTTGCATGTCACTCTCTCCGTGGTCGGCGTCGATTTTTTCTTTCTTGGGGTCCTCCCTCCACATTTAGAAACATGCATTAAGATTCTTAGGATAATTTTGGTGGTATAAATGTCTAAGTGATAAGCCACTTTGTTGAGCTACCATTTGTGGCCAGGTCGCTTTTGACAAATAAGTTCATACCTCAGTGGGCTTTGCCTGGTAGTATGGGGACGGTTTAGTGTTTTATTTGTTTGTGTTTGGGTGATTTGTTTACCTTTCTTGCACTACTTTCGTGTTTCCAGTATAAATACTGATTTGTTGATGCTGCAGCTGCTGCTGCTGCGTGGTGGACTCGCCTTGCCGTAGTCGAGGAGCGTGGTGGAGGAGATGTTGCCGTTCTGGATGTAGAAGGTGGCGAGGTTCTCCTTGGGGTTCACCTGCACCGTCTGCTCCTCGGGCTTCCCATCTTTGTTCTTCACGATCACCTTATAGAGCTGCTCTCGTTGACACCCAATTACAAAAACAAGGATTCCCCCCAATGAGCCTTGACAGACTGTAGGGGCAAGTGCTGTTAGCGAGTAGCACCTATGAAGGCCGGCACGGCACACGAGGGGGTGGGTGGCCAGCACCACGCCCGGCCGCTTTTTTTTCCCAAGTGGCGATGCTTACACATCGCACCAGGTACTCATTTGAGGCTTAGTCAACTTAGGGGAGGCCCAGCACGGGTCCAGATTATCGTCACCGAATTAAACACACGCGTGCACGCACACACACACAAACGCAACACGAATCAGGCTAGATTCAGAAATATCTCTGATCAAATCACTAATAATAGAGTAGGCCCGATCTCTTCCTATCTCGGAAGCTAAGCGGGGCTGAACCTGGATGGTGCCCAAACACGTGACCCGCGTGACCCGCATGCCCAAACCGGTCGTCATAGGGCCACGTGGTGGGCAGTGGAAGGCAGTGAAGGGCAAAGTAACGAAGCCCCCTCTTGTCTAAACTCCCCCTGCCCCCCTTCCCCGCCTTCACCAGCTCGCATTGACCGGCGTGGTGAAGTATGGTCGCGTATCCCCTCCCTTAGTTTACCAGGTCATCCATCCAGCAGTGGAGTCACACAACGTGGCTGGACATGGAGAGACGCTGCTTACGGGAGAAAGTGAGAGGCTGAATCCGCTTCCTGAAGAAGCCCAACGAAGCAAAACGTTGGACGTAATGCCGAACAACACGCGTTACAGCCCAAAACACGCACCCGAGAGCCAGGCCTATCGCGGCATTTTCTGTTACGCGTATAAGGAAGCGTTAATCATCATCGTCGTAGTCGTCACAATAATGCCCTGCCATTCCCATGGGCTCAATTCTAATTCTATCACATTCCAAGTGTGCCATCTTCTTCCGTGAGCTTCTAGAAATAAGTATTAATCTCGTTCAAGTCCATTACCCTTGAGCATATATTTTATTTCCCACTGGTTATCAATGTTTAATAATGTCAACTCTCATGGCCACAGAATCCGCGAGGTTTCCCAGCGGAGGGGCTCCCCGTCGTGAATGACGCAGTTGGTCATCTGCGATTATTCGGCTGCTGCTGCTGCCAACATGACCCGTTGGTCCTGAGCCGATAAGGCGAAACCGGCAAAATCGCTTCAAAGGCTGTTAACCAGTCTACATTATAGAGTGCCAGTACACCCACTCAGTTTAATAACCATTGCTACAGTCTACATTACCGACTGCCAATACGCTCACCAGCTTGAAAAAACAGTCTACAGTCTACATTATAGACTGCCAGTACACTCACCGAGGTTAAGAACCAGGCTACAGTCTACATTTAAGACTGCTTGTATGCTCGCCGAGGTTAAGAACCAGGCAACAGTCTACATTAGTGTTTTTTAATTGTTTTTTTATTATAATTTTTAATTCTTATTTTACTTGTATTATTTTTATTCACTTGATTTATGAAATTTTTTATTTTTTATTATTTTTATTGCTTTTATTATTGATTATTTTTCTATCTACGTGACTTCATTGACACCTGTATATTTGGAGTTTGCATGTTCTCCCCGTGATCGTATGGATTTTCTCCGAGTCCTTCGGTTTTTCCCTCCACATTTAGAAACATGCATTTATGAGTGTTTGGCCGCTATAAATGTCCACATCATAAGCTATCATTTGTGGCCACGTCGCATCTAAAAAAGCTATATAACTCAGTGGGCTTTACCTGGTAAAGTAAAACTAGTTTATAGTTTAGTATATTTCTTCCCAGTTAATATAGTTTCAATAGAACATAGCTTTATAATTTAGGTCCATATACTCTACCGGATCAGCCCATCTCCTCTCTAGGTCGTGCAGCACCCATTTCGTCCCCTCTATCCGGTCAAACAGAAGCTGCTTGGGCACGCGGTGGCTACATGACCCCAGCCTTGGGTAATGCGCGACACACGAACACACAAACACACGAACACACGAAAACACACGAAAACACAAACACACACAAACACACACAAACACACAAACAAACACACAAACACACACAAACAAACACAAACGAACACGCGCACCTCGGTCGCGTTGCTGCCCCCGATGAAGACTCCCAGTAGGACGCCCGCCACCACCACCGCGATCAGCAGCAGCAGCAGCAGCGACGCGCAGATGATGATGAACTTGCGGCTGAACCTGGACTCGGCCGGGTACGCCTGAAACAAACACAGACACGGCGCGTGACACAACCACTAATCGTACTGACACAACAGACAGGAGCACCACCACCACCACCACAGCAGCAGCAGCAGCAGCGACGACGACGCGCAGATGATGATGAACTTGCGCATGAACCTGAACCGGGCCGAGTGCGACCGAGCCAGCCACAGACACGGCGCGTGACACAACCACCAAATCGTGCTGCTTTCAAATGAGCGACGTTCATCTCGCCCAGGTGACGGTACGCGCGGTGTTTAAGGAAACGTGACAACAGGTACTGTAAGAGATGCGACACCAAGAGAAAGCTACAGTATCCCATCCTGCTGCTGAGAACCATCAATCGCATCAGAACCCCGATTTCCAGGGTACCTGCACATCCACCAACCCCCCACCCTCTCCCCCAAGCTCTGCGGTCCTCTATATATTAAGGGGATATCGGCCATTGAACGAGTGTTTACATGTAGCTATCATTCGCCACTGATGTTGGTCGTGTCCGAGGAATCTTGGTCCCAGGGCTCACAGGGCAACGTGCTAACCACTGCGCCACTGCTCCACCCATTTTTCATTTACTCTGCCTTTATATCTTATAATTATTGTAATAATCGCTTCTTTATCCAAGGAAAGTCATACTGAATTGTATAGGTGTCTTTGTCAGGAGGGCCTTGCATTAGTTTTTTTTAATTTTATCTTAAGATGTATTTCTGCCAATGAATGCATTTTAAGTATGTGGCTGCTCTTAATGTCCACGTGACAAGCCACTTGGTTGAGCTATTTTCTGTAGCCAGGTCGCTTCTGAATGAGAGCTATATAGCTCAGCGAGACTTATCACGTGGAAATGTATAGCAGCCAAATACCCTAAACGCGTGATGTTGGTTCTTAAAGTGGATGGGAAAACCCGAAGGACCCGGAAAAGAATCCACGCGACCAGACGAACAGAGAGAGAGAGAGGGAGAGACACGCAAACTCCAAATATACAGCAAGCGTCAGGGTCGGGATTCGAACCGACCAACTCCTCCTGTACACCAGGCGAGGAAGACAACACCTTCAGGGATATTGAATGCAGCGGCAGACGAGGTGTTTGACGGTCACGCTCTAACTGCGGGGGTCTCACCGGAGGGGCGTCCAAAGCAGCCGTCGAATCAAATCCTTTCTCCATGGTGGCTCTCGCCGGCTCTTGGGTGACTTCGACAGCCGCAGCTCCACCGCTCCCTCTGTGACATCGTCTCGCGACGGCGAACCGCCTCTTATAAGCACGAGGCGCTCGGGGGATGAAGAAGAAGAAGAAGGCAGGGAGGAGGTGGCGGTGGTGGTGGTTGTGATGGAGGTCGATTGGGATTTCTTTCAGCCAGGATTAAGCCGCGGTGGGGGCGGGGTGGCTGGGAATGTTTGAATTGTGGACTTTTTACAACAATAACGCCAACCACCACCAACCACCCCACGCATCGCCTCCTCTCAGTGCCCCCCCCCCCCCCCCTCCAGTTGTGTCGCGTTACCCGTGTGAAATAATGGAGCTCAGTTTGTGGTTCCCCCCCCCCCCCCATTCCTCCCAGAAGGGACATGCAATATGCAAATAGCCGAGCTCGTAATGAAAACATGTTTATCGCTGGGGAATTCCAGAAAGTGTGGCTCTGAGTTGAAATAAGTGGCGCTGCTGTGGTTACAAGTAAATCAGACTGCAACGGAATCACCGATCTTGATGATATTAGCCAAGCAAATGCACGGGGGTATGTCGTGTCATTTCTCGATCCATAATATGTGCAAATCTCTGATCGAATTTCCTTTGAGTCAATGCGATTGACTCAAAGGAAATTCGAACGCTCACGAAACCAAATTCGCACACACACACACAAAGATTGGAAGTGCAACCAGAGATAAAAGCGCGTGCAGGCTGACCGAGAGACGTTGGGAGTCGAGTAACGTCTGTGGTTTATTGTCGCCATCATCCTTGGCAGTAAACACAGGAGCGCTGAGGTACAATCAAAACCGGCACACATCATTGAGAAGGGGAAATAACTCTCAGTGCGAGAAGATGGGAGAACTGCATTGTGACTGTCTTGTCTTGGCACCTCAACAAGAGAACAATCGTTTAAATAACGGGACAGGTGGTAACTTTCCTCCACAGTGATCAGGCGTGGACCCCTGATGAGACGCACGGCAGCAGGAGGCAATGGTGGCTTACGCTGCACTGATGAGTCCTAACAATAATATGGCCGCAAATTTCGACTCTCGAGTTGGTGGTGTTAGAACGAGGCTGTGCGCATGTCACATGCAGAATCAGAATATTGAGTTATACTGGAGAAATCCGATGAGCTATGAAGCTCTTGTTCACATATGTCCAGGAGGGGCGGGTAAGAATATTACATACAGTACAAAAACACGATAGGAGTGCGAAGTACAAGAAAGGTAATCAAATCACACAAACACAAACAAATACAACACTAAACCATCCCCATGCTACCAGTACGGTGATGCCACTTGGCATGCAAGGCAGGATGGGAAGGCTGATGCTGTCGCCAAAATGTAACCTTTTGCTGTCCAGACACCACCTTCTGCATGTGGTCGTAGTGTTCTATTTTTTTGTTTTATAACACTACTATTTTGAATCGTTCAGAGTATTTGGCTGCTGTAAACTTCCCCGTGATAAGCCACTTCGTTGAACTATCATTTGTGGCCAGGTCGCTTCTGAATAAGAGCTATTTCGAGCTCAGTGTGCCTTACCTAGAAAACAAATTAATTTGAAGCTTTCGTCACTGCAGGAATCCATACTCTTTGGATCTTTCGGTAAAGTAACGTAGGTAGAAAAAAATAAAAAATATATCACGACGTTTCGATCGCAACACGACTTCACCGAAAGAACCAGAGTATAGAAAACAAATTGTTTCATCGTTTACTTTTACCCTTCTAAGTTTCCTCCTGGCACGCAGCCTCATTTCTCCCGGAATGTTCTTATTCAACTCTTGTTTGTTTCATATCTCTCGATGTGTTTCGTTGTATTCCTAGTCGTGACTGTGGGGGCCCATGCCGCTCTTGAAAAATTCGACGAATCCTGACCTCTTGAGTTCTCGTCCGGTGCAAACAAAATTAACCAAATCTAAACTTATCTCCCGTAGTGGCCGCGGGCTCCATTGTGTGGAACAACATCCGAAAAATGTGCAACGAAGCACGGAGAGGTGCAGGCTTGGAGATACACTGAAGACGGATCGAGGAACACGTGGATCAGAAAGCAAACACAGCTTGGAGATCCATAATGGATGTTTTTTTTGGGGTTAGATCGCGTAAATGAAAATGTGTCGTTAAACCCGCCATCACCCGACGCAGCCAATTAGTCAGGGTTGTCACGTCAAGAAAGCATGCCGAATTCGCATCTAGTTCAGCACACCGGTTGCGTGTTGGAGAGTAAACCAACAACATTTACAATTCGAACCTACGCGTTAAACTGACAGCTTAGAGACATCGCGTTGACCGTTGAGAAACGTAAGCGGACTTGAGCAGGACACGTTATGGCTTGCAGGAACGATATGCATACATGTAGAACGTCTTTCGCACCATATGTAGCCAACCGTGCTACACGGAGTTGCGGGAGAAGGACAACAAACTAAACACAAAACGCAGTTCTAAAGAAATTAGTTTTCAATCGTGCATAGCTCCAGTGGCTTCCTAACATCGCAAGGAAGAGCGTTCCAGACGGCCGCAGCAGCGCATCTGAAAGCGCGCGATGCGGTGACCACCGCTGTTCGAAGGCAGAGCCAAAAGCCGCTGCTGTTGCGAGGATGACCGGGAGTTCGCGTGATGGTGGTTTATTGTTCCTTGAAAAAAAACGCCGGTGGTCGAGACGAACGACGGAGTGGCAGCCAAAGGCGGCAACGCGCCCGAGAGGACGTCCACCCGCGTTGCGGAGAGATGAAATTGTGGTCACGCGCAGGAGCCATTTGGAACTTTTGCATCGCGAAACCTGTGAGAGGTGGCAATGGTTTAGTGGGAGGGAAAAACCCTTCTCTTTCTTGGTTGTAAACCGTTCACAAAACACAAGAACGCTATAGAATTTCTAGTCAAATTTTCTCTTTTTTAAAGCTACGGCTTTGGGATTCGCTGGGGACCAAAAAAACCCCAACATCTTTACATCCTTGAGTCAAATTACCTTTGATAAATGGCGGTGGCGTGGGAGGGGGGGCCGTGGCACTGGAATTTTTGTTGTTGTTACAGCCTTTTCTCAAATTTCGTTCTGTAAACGGAGGCGCAAAGAAAGCAAGTGAGCGTGTATTTAAGACGGGGTGAAAACTGTGTTTTAAAAACACACGGCGTGTGCCACACCTCCCTGCTCCCGGTGAAATCTTCCACTTCCTTATGTTACCCCCCCCCCCCTGCCTCCCCCACCTGCGCGGGCAGCTATTCGAATTGCCACCGACGGTCATCGGCCACGATCAATCAACTTCTGGATTGTTTGGCCTTCCCCAAAAGCCATCGCCGTCTCTCGCGGCGGTCCTGAGATGTGCGCGATCCACCCAAGCGCCTGCACGCGAGCGGATTGTTACGCTCCATCTCCACGGCAGTGGTTCCCAAAATTTGTTTTTATTATTTTCGCGACAGTGCCCCCCCCCCCATCCCCCCGTGTTGAATTTTGTTTCAACCACGTGTGTTACCCCCCCCCCCCCTTGCCTGACCCAACATGGTTGTGAGAAATACATGTATGAATAATGAACATCAATGTTTTAACCAATTGTGCCTTTCGTGAGGTGTAACCCTAACTAGCTAGGAACTTGCAAGCGCAAGAAAACAAATTGAATGGACGCGCTGCCTGGGCCACGTTAATTGTTCGCGCTTGCTGCTGCCTCTCGGACTCCCGCGTTGTTGACCATCAACGGGTTTCGAAAGGTCTTCGATATCGTTCCATGTCACCGTGTGGATTCACATTTGATCGTATTCTTTGGGTCTATTGGTAAAGTCACGTAGGTAGGTTCAGAGAAAATAACAAACAAAAAATAACCAAAAACTACGACGTTTCGATCGCAACACAAGCGTTCGTCATCCTGTTTTGCGATCGAAACGTACCCCTTTGGGAGATTGCCACGTACCCCCAGGGGTCCGCGTACCCCCCCACCCCCCGTTGAGAACCACGTTTCGAGGGTTCGGTCCCTACTTTTTCTGTCACTTAATCATCAGTATGGGCCACACGCCAAGATCTATATTCTTAGCTCTTTCGGTAAAGTCACGTTGAAGGGAAACAATAAAATAATAAAATATATCTTCTTTGGTTCTTTCGGTAAAGTCACGTAGAATGAGAATAAAATAATTAAATACAACAATACAATTATCACGACGTTTCGGCCACAACACAAGCGGCCTTCTTCAGGTGAAGGAACAAAAAACTGTCGGGACGACAGAGCTCGTCGTGAGAATTTTATTGTTTTATTTTATGATTTTATTCTCATTCTACGTGACTTTACCGAAAGAACCAAAGACGATGAATCCTTGTAGTCACGAAAGCTTTAAATCGAAATAAAATATATATAAAACAATTAAAAATTATCACGACGTTTCGACCATAACACAAACGGTCATCATCAGGTGTGAAAACCAACGGCAAGAAACATTTGAAAGAAGTGGCGGTTTGCATTTATTTCTTTATAAACTGTGTTTGTATTTATTTATTTATAATAAAAAAACGTTAGCACCACGGGCAGCGATTTGGCAGTTTATTTAGAAGGACGAGTCCATCTATGTTCTGAAAAGAGGAGGGGGGAGACGAAAAATTTATGTATGCTCTCTGAAAGCCACCGTAAGCGTGAACAATCAATTAAGACCCGAAATGGTTTATCAAATCCTTCCAATGATTGCTAAGCTAAGAATATAAATTACTGCAGTCACGAAAGCTTTAAATCAAAAGGCCATGATCTCTTTCACGCAATGCGTCCTGCCAAATCCCGCGGGGAAACTTCTCAATGATAATGGAAGTCCTGAACCTGCGTTTGTTCTCCGGCCCGCGTGTTCGTCTCTCTGTCTGTCGAGCACAAAGAGTCGATTCACCGCAATTTCCGGAAGGAAGCACAACTCCGCAGACTCTTAAGCGCGCGAATTCATCTTTGCGCAGCGACTCGCCCTGATGTGATACGTTGCGGGGTTTCTGTTGTGCTTGGTGATCACAGTCTCCGCACACTGCCGGAGCGTTTTTCATTTTGCATTTGTGACAAAATGCATCGTCATCAAGTGTCCCCATCTGCTGCGATGGTATTAGTGTGCGGATGCGGTTTAGGATTGCGCCCATGAGCTTGGATTTTGGTAGGTTTGTATGTGTGCTGAACTTCTTTGGCGCCGTACGTAGCCAACCGTGTTAATTGAACGTGACAATAGAAAGTAATACACAGTAGCAATATGCTGAGAGCGCCTCTGTCAGAATCAGAATATTTATTTACACTGGAGGAATCCGAGGAGCTTTAAAGCTCTTTTTTTTGTTCTAAAATTTCCAGTAGGGGCGGGTCAGAAGGTTACACCAACAAACAATACAAACACACGATATGAGTGCTAAGTTACATTGCATAGACATTAACAATGGGGAGAGGTAACGCCGTGGTTAGAGCACTGCCCTGCGAAAACGGCGACCCGAGTTCGATTCCTTGCTCACGACCAATACCGGACCTGGGCCTCCCCTTGGTCAACTCACCTAGCGCGGTGGAGAGACAAAGGTGGCCGGGCGTGGTGTTGGGGGCACCGCAGCCCCTCGGTGTTGTCGTGCCGGTCTTCATGGATGCTACTCGCTAACGGCACTTGCCACGACAGTCTATCGAAGCCTCGACAGGGGGGGGTGGGGGGGGGGGTCATTTTATTCGTCGATTACACTGCAAGATCGTGGGATATGGCGGCGGCTTGGGGAGGTATTCATCCAGCAGTGGATTGACCATGGCTGCTGCTGCTGGTTGCTGGTTATGATGGTTTACCTACATTTGTTCCGTCTTTGGGGAATGAATCAGAGTCGGAGCGGACCCCACACGGGAAGCAGAGGCTCGGGCCGCCAGGCGCGAGGGTGGAGCGCCACGGGTAGTCGTCGCCACAGGAGGAGCAGAGTAAACCATCATCACGGGGACTCCCGTCATCCCCGCAGCAGCAGCAGGAGCAGCAGCAGGAGCAACAGCAGCAGCAGCAGCGGCTTTTGGCCAACCGCCGAACCAAGACGGGCACCGTGTCGCGCGCTTTCAGATGCGCTTTTGAGACCGTCTGGAACGCTCTTGCTTGCGATGCTAGGAAGCCACGTGGAGTTGTGCGCTTTTAAATCTAGATTCAACATTTTTTTTCTTTACAACTGCTTTTTGTGTTTGATGTGTTGTAGCCCCCCCCCCCCTGCACCTCAGTGACGGGGTGTTAACTCCATCGCCTGGTATGCAGGAGGTCGCGGGTTCGATCCGCTGCCGTAGATTTGGAGTTTGCGTGTTCTCTCTCTCCCCGTGGTCGCGTGGATTTTTCTCCGGGTCCTCCGGTTTTTCCCTCCACAGTTAGATTCAACATCACTCGTTTGGAGTATTTGGCGACTATACATTTCCATGTAATAAGCCATTTCGTTGAGCTATCATTTAAAAAAGCTATGTGGCACAGTGGGCTTTACCTACTAAAATAAAATAAATGACCGGACTGAGACCATCACCTCACTACATTTGAGAACCAGGCGGCTGCCTGGATCACAGGCGGCTGCCAGGATCACAGGCGGCTGCCTGGATCACAGGCGGCTGCCTGGATCACAGGCGGACTGGTCCACAGGCGGCTGCCTGGATCTCAGGCGGCTGCCTGGATCTCAGGTGGCTACCTGGTCCACAGGCGGCTGCCTGGATCACAGGCGGCTGCCTGGATCTCAGGTGGTTGGTTGCCTGGTCCACAGATGGCCGCCTGGATTCGATCCGAGGACCCCAAACCGTGCGAGCTCAGTACTCTGACCGCTGAGTCATCAGGAGGCCTCCTCTACAGCCCAGAGGTCGAGCAGCAGCAGCAGAGAAGCGATGGCGCAGTGCGGTGGCATCAGTGGCAATGACCTTTTGACATCACGCCGTTTTAGCAGGGGAGCAGCATTCAAATATAAAACACACAGCAGGTGTACTTTTACAATGTACACTTTATTAAACCATCCTTTCGACGACAATCTACTTCTTCAAGCGATTATACACTGCTACCTACTTTCTTCAACGCCATGTACACACTGTACAAAACCTTCAAAGCAGTGGTGCTTAAACATGACTGCAGCCTTGCAACCCCTTTGGTTCTCAGTCGTTTAAACTTGTATCATGTTAATGCATGCATAGGTTTGATGAAAGAAATTGTATCGATGATTTACCTTCTAAATTTAAATCTGGCCATGTCTCGCACACCCAGAAAGGGCATCTCGCTTTACCCACGGGGTGCGTGCACTCCAGGTTAAGAACCACCGCTTTAAAGCGTTACATTAATTCCAACTGGAGTCACCGCACGAAACACAATTGTACTCTTGTCGGTAATCGCCTCATTGAAACAAGTTGGAAAATGACGCCTGTGGCAATTTTCAATCGGCCTCTCATTAAAGACGAGATATCTCCTTCACCCGCTGTCAAGTGAATTTTTTTCCCCAATTGCAGTCTCACGCAAACGTAATCGATTTACATTCAGCCGCAGAACTGCCCTCTCGTTGAATTTAGCGAGATGACCAAAACTAACCAACATTTGGATATCCTGTCTCCGTAGCAAAGTTCACCTAAAACTTTATCGAAAACATCAGACTGTTGATAACGTGGCAACCAAGCGTCAAATTCCGAAGCCGTTAATTGTGGCTTTGTTGGTTGTGACGCAAAGACTTGTAGACACACACGCGCAGCGACTGTTTTAAGACATTTCTCATGTCGTAGTCGATACAAAAAAAAACGCGACGGTATGTTGACTGAAAGAGAAACGAACAGAACTGATCGAACTCGCTCGCGCCTGCTTGAGCTCAGATTCGACCGCTTCGTCAATTTGAGATTTGCATCGTGCTCACATGCATAAGCCAGGCATGGCCCCGTGACTTCCTTTGTGTTGAGTTCTGATGTCCTCCCCCCCACACCTCTGATTAGCATGGTTGGCTACGTACGGCGCGAACGAAGTTCAACGTACATAAACATAGACACAACAGGCCAACAGCTTCACAGCAATATTTATCCATCTCTGTAAGAAACTTAGCCGCACGCATCAGATGCTAGAGGGCATATTACGACGCGGCAACACTGCGTTTCTGTCCTCAAGTCACCCTTTGTCGCTGCACGTGTCTCCTGCAGTCATAATTGACCGGGGTTTGTTTGTATGTGTGCGCGTGTGTTAATGCGTGGCCCGCCACAGGTATTTTAACCATCCTATTCGGCCACGGTCGGGAAATGTTTTCTAGCACCGCCCCCACCTTTTGTAAGCGCCGCTTAAGCCCGGTCAACTTTCAAATACCCGAGCAATTCGCTGACAACTCAAACAATTGAAGTCTTTCGTCAATAAAACTTAAAACATTGCGAGTCAAACGCTCGGGAAAATCACTGCCTGCTCAAACAAGCAATGGGAGCGTCACTCATAAATCAACGGTTGGCAGCCCTAAGCCATTAATTGTAAAATGCCCCACGGCAGGGGCAAGGCAATTCATGGGACTATCACCGTGCGCTTTCCAGTGGTATTCATTAACTCGTGGCAGTGTAGCTCTGAAAATATCCGCTTTCCTGGGCTGTTATCTTTTACACGAAGGTTTGCACTGCTCCGAGAAATCCGAATGGATACTTTGATTCGTGGCATAACAAGCAAATACACAATTCGGAAAAGGGGGGGGGGGGGGGGGGGGGGTGTGGAATATACGTGCGAGTTATAGCAGGACGAGTTTGCGCCAGATAAGACTTTAACTCTTGCATCTCAGTTTACTCCAGATAAGACTTTAACACTTGCATCTTAAGACTGCGAGGTCATCGTTGGGACCATCGCAGCACCCACCTGGACCTGTCACATCCGGCGAGGGTTGAGGTTTATTACGGAGCCCGCTCAATCGACATCAACCAGCCCTCAGGCGACCGGGAAAATCAACCTGGATACCACCTTCACTGAGACTTTGAAACTCCTTCGGATCCACATTACGACCCCGATGACCACTGATGAAGCTGAAAGGTGTTTTTCAACTTTGAAAAGATTGAACAAATTTCTGAGAAATGCCATGTCCCAGGACCGCCTCAATACACTTGCTATGCTTTTAATGGAAAGAAGCTGATTTTTGTATTTAAAGCTTTCGTGACTGCAGCGATTCATATTCTTGGTCCTTTCGGTAAAGTCACGTTGAAGGGAAACAATAAAATATATATTATATTTTATTCCCTGAACAAAAACAATAAAATATATTATATATTATAATATATTATATATTGTATTCCCTTCAACGTGACTTTACCGAAAGAACCAAGCATAGGAAAGAAGCTGATCAATGAAATTCCCGACTTCAAGAGACGAACAATTGAATTTGTTTGCTTCTCAGAAGGATCGACGTGCCGAATTCTTATATGAATAGGTCAATGCAGAGGAAAGGGAGTCTGCTATTGTGGAGTCGCCCATCTTGGGGATATTATGTGCGGTAAGCCATGTTAATTATTTAATGGCAATTTAATGGGTTTATTGATATATGGTTAAGCATGTACTCGAAACATCACTCATGTGGCCTTAAAACCAGAAATATTTGTTACATTGAACTTAATCGTGGCTTAAACCCAAAATCAAATGTGTAAGATGTCAGTATGACCCTATCTTTTGATTCGACAATGTAGTCAAAGTGATGTTACAGTTTCTAAACAGTGCGACAGTGACCACACAACGAAACAAGCTGGAGTGAAAAGTTAAGTAAATAGTAGAGCCCGTGTACATTTTATTAATGTCCATAATAGAGGTTTTTAGGTTCGATCGCGTAAATATATAAACGTGTCGTTAAAACCCACCACCACCCGACAGAGCCAACTAGTAAGGGTTGTCAATACAATGATGTTTGTGTCGGTGGGTTATATGACGGCATGTGGCTGCTATTGTACAGTGCGCGGTGTCTTGGTTGCCTTGGCTAATTTGTTGAGTCGTGTCAGCTGATCTGTAATTATTATTTAGGCTTTTGGCAGTCAAAGATGCTGTGTAGTGTGGACTTGAGGGTCATAGGGATAGCATTTGAGTGCTTTGTTTTGTATCGTTTAGAAATGCCTACCGTTGGTAGATAAGACAGTTTTATCACTTTCACGGGAAGGTGAATAACATGGCGAGGTTTTTCTTAATTAGAACACTATTTTCAGAGGTCACTCACAATTGCCCCACCTAGTAAACAAGTCACAAGTCACCACTGGTGACCACCATGCATACAACAGGTGTTTTGGCTGCGGCAGGGATGTGTTACCCAACGCAGCAACAATGTTGTACTGTCCATCTTCTCTCCAAACTTCTATGCTCCCCGCATCACCGAACCGCACACTGACCAGCGGTGGCATGTCAAAGGTCCTCATCCGGCAGTGGACTGACAAAAGGGCTGTACATGTATATATTTCACTGCACACCAGGCGATGTGCATTGGCTCTAGGTCAGGGTAATCATCAGTGAAATCCGCTTCGGGGTTTCAATCCAAGAAGTCCATGCAGCCTCTGGGGAGAACTGGGCCCTGTGTCAAGCCCAACAACCACCACAGATGCACGAAACATTGCATACACTTCCCAACGGCTCGCTCACACCAATGCCGTTGGAAAGGCCTCCACTAAAGGGAGCTCTCGAGAAGCTCTACAATGTATTTGGGTCGACACTTCCACACCAGCCAGACGTCTTTTGAAGGGGGCGAGAGTACCCACGCTTGACCCCATCGCACGTGACCCCGCCGACCGACCCAACTGTGCCGTATCAATTTCTACTGCTGGGTGGACAGAGGCGGCCCGATTTAAGTAACTTGCCCATCGCTTTAACTGCCACCTAGGGAACTTGAAACGAACCGGCGACCCCTGAAAATGTTCAAATCCAGAGCCCGCACCATTTACGACGCTTCTCTACTGCACCCAAATCAATGGCACCTGTAACTACAAAACCCGAGGTGGAGTTCAATGCCTGCCTGAAGTGGAGCCGGCGTGCATCACTGGTGCGCACAAACACAAAGTACTCACCACACCTGCACACGACATACACTCCTCGTACACTACACACTCCGGGTGAACTTGTTGTAAACTTGCTTAGCATTAGCACGCGTGCACACTTGTTGGTCTCAACATAAAACTTAAAAACGTACAAACACAACACACACACACCTGTAATCACTACATTCACCACAACAACAAAAAACCAACATGAAACAAACACACTCTTGCAGACTTAACTCACTCACTACGTATATTTTAGAACTGCTTTTTGTGTTTAGTTTGTTGTCCTTCCCCAGCGCCTCCGATCAGTACGGCTGGCTACGTATGGTGCGAAAGAAGTTCAACATACATACACACAACCATGCACTGGGAGCACCTGGCCAGGAATCAAACATGTTGCACACTTGTAAGCACTCGGCACTCTTGACTCGCCAAATACTTAGCACACATAGACGGGAAGAGTAAGGATTCGGTAAAAAGTAACGCTTCAGGGTCTAGATTCGATTCAGGAATCGATCCTATTGTTTTTCACAATGTGGTAAATGCAGCAGCTTCAATTAGCTGCAGGGGGCCCTGTGAAACCCATTCTGTACAACGCAAAAAAATAATTGAAAAACATTTATTAAAACACGCGTGATTTGCCGCATATGTGAGTGCAAGAATCAATGTTAATGGATGCATTGATGCATCCCTTGACGCACTAACACTTGTGAAAACTCAACAAATGCAGTCACCCAATATACACAACTTACACGTCACACAAAGACCACCCCCCCCCCCCCACCCCCCCGTGTAGCCTTGAATAGGCTGCTGGGGCGATGTGTCATGAGCAAGCACCTAATACCGGCAGGGTGATATTGGCCAACACCACGCCATGGTCTCCAAAGCAATGATGTTTGCTACACTGCACCAGATACTCAATTAAGACCAAGTCGATCTAGAGAAGGCTCTGGACCGCATCCGATATCACTTGCCGGTGATGGTTGCCATGGCCAGGAATTGAACTCGGGTCGCCGGCTTCATGTGCAGTGCGTTAACCATTGCACCAACGCTTCCACTACACATACGTTTAGTTTCTTCGGTATGTTGTCCTTCCCCCGCACCTCCGATTAGCGCGGTTTGCTACGTACGGTGCAAAAGAAGTTCAACATACATACCCACTGTACCTCACGCACATGCACGCACGCACGCGCGCACACACACACACACACACTCGCCCGTTTTCCTCTTCGCTGCGAGCCATGGTCAGGAATAAAAGGTTGCCACGTCAACCCTGCGTCAACAGCTGCCCTCTCTCCACCTGTTTTTTTTCCTTTCACCGTCTTCTGGTCCCTGACACAAACCTCCTCCAATCACCGCAACCCACATGCCCCATGCACCCGTACGTATCTCCGCGTCTCCGCTCCTTAGTGGATGTATTTGTCCATGAACTTTTTGTGGAACTCCGAGCGCAGCGTGTCATTCACAAACTGCTTCTCGTTCTTGGTTTCGTCCACCCCCTTGGCGCAGTTCTTGAAGACCACGTCGTCGTCCCACCTGCACGCAAACAACGCCCCCCGCCACCAGCAGTGCAGCGTTTAACATTATCCATAATAAAGGTAAATATAAATCGTTAACACGCCACGACCACCAGACCACAACTAAATTGGTTAGGTTTGTCACGTAAAACAAAACGTGCCAATTACTTCAGCACACCGGTTGTGTTGGAGAGTATACGCACATGTACAACTGCGGTACCGCGATGTTTTGCTGGTTATTACAACAATCAGCTTCACCGGGCTATTAGCCAGAATTGTGAGGAAGAACTCCCGTTTCGGTCTTCAATCGGGAGAGTAAAGGTGATGTCATCACTTTAACCCACAAAAAAAACTTTGTGGATTATTTATTAATATTGGTTGCAAAAGCCTCCGTGTTAAAGCCTTTAACCGACCGTCATGGCAAGCGCCGTTAATTTTTTTCGCACAGTATGTAGCCGACCGTGCAGATTGGAGGTGCGGGGGTGGACAACATACTAAACACGGAAAGCAGTTCTAAAGAAGTGAGTTTTCAATCTAGATTTCAAAGTGGTTAGCTCCAGTGGCTTCCGAATATCAGAAGGGTGTTCCAGACGGTTGCAGCATCGCCTCTAAAAGCGAGCGATGCAGTGACCATATTTGTTTGATGGCCAGCCAAAGGCCACTGTGAAGATGACCATGGTGCTGTGGTCAGTACCATGCACGCCCGGTCACCTTTTTCTCTCTAGTGCTGATGTTTTTACAAACTGCACCATTTGCTCATTTAAGGCCGAGTCGGTGCAGAGGATGCGCAGAACCGGTTCTGATATCACTCACCAATGATATTAGCCATAGTCAGAAATCAAACTCATGTCACAGGCTTCGTAAGAGTAGTGCGCTAACCACTAAAAATACAGCTCCCCACATACACAGAGACATACCAAGATAGAGACACAGGCAAGTTCTGGGAGAAACAGCCTTTGACATTAACGATTCCACAAGACCGTAACGAGCCACCGTGCTCCCCTTCCCCCAGACACACAACACGGCCATAATGAACCTGGAGGACCTGTCTCGTCTCCAGGTGTACAACGCACCTGCGCTTCACCTTGAACCCCTCGGCACCCGTCAGGTTCATGAGGGGGTTTCCACTCAGGATATTCTCCGTGCGAATTTTCTCCTCCTCGGATTTCTGTTCCCGCTCCTGTGGGAGACACGGCGAGGACCCATTGAGGATACAGTGGAGACACAGGGAGGATGGAGATATACGGTGGTTGGTATTTTTGTTATAGACATGCAGCGGGTTGGTGAGAATGAGTGGGTAAACTGCTTGGGATACAAGCAGACACGGTGGAGACAGAAGGAGAATGAGTGTGCAGGCTATGGATGTAGGTGAATGGGAGACAGGGAAACAGGACCAGTAGGTGGCATACAAATGGACACAGAGGCAAGGAGAATAGGGACAATTTTACGAGACACAAGTGGACAAAGAGGGGTGACAGGGGAATAGGGAAACTGGCTGGGAAACAATTGGGTATGAGTGAGATGGGAGGGGAAAAGGATGGAATAGAGGAAACAAAAGAGATAAGAGAACGTGAAGTGATATCAGCATCTACGAGGGTGTCAAAGCAAAGGGTTCACGGATTCAGGCTGAGACAAGCAGACGCAAGAAACGGAGAGTGAGAACATCGACTGGGACCCAGGAGAGACAAAAATGAGAGTTAGAATATTTATTTATGCTGAGAGAATCCGATGAGCTATAAAGCCCTTTTTCACAGATGTCCAGTAGAGAAAGCAATACAGGGGAGACAGAAATGAGACAGCGGACACAGAAGTGAGTTGGGGACGAAGGCAGACAGATGTGAGACAAGAACACAGGGGGACAGCGACGCACGCGCTTGGATTGCTCCTCCGCCCGCTCCTTCTTGATTTTGCTGAGCTCGGCGAGCAGAGCAGCTGTGTCATCTTCATCATCATCGCTGTCCTTATCCGAGGCATCTTCGTCCTAAAATGCGCAACACATAAACACGCTAAGGCACAGAGGCATTCACAAAAAACAAAAAAACGCTTGCGCACACCCGCTCATTTATGTCTGACCACGCAAACACAAGCATAATTTGGACCACCATTTGAATTATAGTAGTGGTGATGATGATTATTATGATGGGAGTGATGGCCGAAGTGGCGGTGATGTTGATAACTGTAATGGCAGTGATGATGAAATAATAACGGAAGTGGTGCTGTAAATTGTGAAGTTGATGGCCGTGATGCTGACAGTAGTGATGGTGGAATAAGTGTTGACAGCAGTGATGGTGACTGATGACGGTGGTGAAAGTGGTTTTGATGTTGCTCATAACGTTGACAATAATGACTAATGATGATGTCTATGGTGACGGTGCTGGTAACGATGTTGCCATCCGCGGCTTCACCTCGTCACTCTCGATAGGGTCGTCAGCGTCGATATTGGCGGCAGGGATTTGGTCGATGCGCGGGCGCTTGGACGATGACGAAGAGGTGATGTGCTCTGCACACGCACAAGTTCAATAAGGTGAGCTGTGTTCCTTGTGTTGTCTTCGTTGTCTTGTGGCTATTATGTCCATTGTCTTCGTTGTCCGTCCACTGTGTTTGTATGTTCCCTGTGTTGTGTTCATTGTGGTGTTTTTTGTGCGTTTTGTGTGTTGCTTTATGTGTACATTGTATTCACTGTGTTGTGTTCATTGCATTATATGTAATATAGTCTTCATTTTGTGAATTGTGTTCGTTGTGTCTATTGCTTGGATTGTTAGTTGTCAATTGGTGTGTTACTTGTTTTGAGCCCATTCTGTACAATTTTTTCCTTATGAACACTTTTGCGTAAACTGCGTCTATCTCGAGCAGTGCGCTAATTCATTCTGCTCAATGCATGTGTGGACTATGCAGTACAGGAGGGGTGGGGAACTTTGTCCTTAATGAGTACCGAATAAGACTTTCAAACAAAGTTGGTGGGCCACAGGTAAACACAGAACTCACCGTTATCCAATGATAATGCAAATAATAAATGTGCAGTGGACCAGGCAGTAAGATGCCCTTGCAGTGATAGATATGACTGAGCACACTAACGTTAGAAACGCAGTGTTGCTAGATCAAAAATATTTCCCCCCCCCCCACCCTGTACCCGATTTGTGCAGCTGAGATGCTTACAGTGATGGGTAAATATCATTTGCAGCCCGTTTTAAAGCGGTGGGTCTCATGTGGCCACAGGCCACAATGAGGTAAAGTTCTGTACTGTATCTGGAGCACAGGCCGTAAGTTCCCCACCCCTACAGTGGAGTCTCCACCACTCCGATCACTCAGCTGCCCCCTACCGCTGGCCCGTACCACGAGGCGCGCGCGACCGATCTCGCCCGGTTACTCGCTCGCGCTCCTCCAGCTCCCGGCGGAAGTCACGGCCACGGACCTCATCCACATTGTCCTGGGTCGACTGCCTGGGGGTGTCAACATTATCAGCAGCATCATCATCAGCAGCAATCATGATTCTCAATTTTTTGCATGATTTGTGAGCAGTAGTAGGTATGTTGAATTACTTTCACACCGTACGTAGCCAACCGTGCTAATCGGAGGTACGGGGAGAGGTCAAAAAGCAGGAGCAAGTTCATCATTGTAGTAACAAGATCCGAAATGGCATTCATTATTATGTTGCCAGATTGCAACGCTCAGTTACATGAGTGTAGTTGCTAGGGGTGATGTCAGAACTTCAACTGCGCCGAGCCAATCAGCTGCAAGGATGTTTGCAGCAAACTCTCATTGTACAGCAATCAAGTGGATGATCAAGCACTCACTGATTTATTCTGATCACTCGCTCACTCACCAGAGGTTAGTAGCCTCCTTATCACTCTTCTATCACTCCTACCATGGTTACTGTTCCCGTGGATTTATCTTATCGATTCCTTCACCCATATTGAAGACACGGTTCACTAAACTGAATGATTCTTCTGATCAATACTGTGTTCAACCACCATGCTGCAGGTCTCAACAACACACTCACTCAGCAACTCACCCACTTACTCCCCACACTGGAAGTCACAACGCTTATATATCGGTTTCTTCCCTTGTCCTACATGTCTTTAAAATTCCCTCCCATGATCTTATTTCCCAAGTTCTTAGATCTATTCACCAGATGTGTTAACTCCTATCTATTACAACTTCAGTGTTGCTGTTTGTTGCTGGTGTCCTAACAACACCGATACATAACCATGCAAACACAACAACGTACACCAACTGCTCAAACACAACCACCACAAAGAAAATGCTCAAACACAACTATACAAAATAACTGCTCAAAAACAACAAAGATAAAGATCCCCCCATATAGCCTAAACAGACTGTTAGGAAAAGTGCTGTTTACAAGCACCTTTGAAGCCCGGAACAGTACATGAGTGGGTGGCCAGCACTATACCCGACCGCCTTTGTCTCCCCAGTGGCAATGTTTTTACACACTGCACCAGGTACTCATTTGAGACTGAGTCGACCTAGGGGAGACTCAGGACAGGTTCAGATAATCGTCACTGGTGCTGGCCATGATCGGAAACGAACTTGGGTCGCCGGGTTGGTAGCGCAGCACACTAACCATTACACTAACACCCTCAAAAACAACAACCACAAACGTACTACAATAAACACAACTGCTCAAAAAGAAGACAAATATGGGCCACGAGAAACTTATTTCCTAACTTAAAAAGTAATCGCAAGTGTCCGTTTCCATATGGAAACAGTTACACGCCATATACAAGCTTTAGCATATTAAATACTTGTGTAAGTCATTGGGACTTGGGCTCCAGGATCTCAGCAATCTTGACCAATAAGCCACGCAACCACGTCCTGTTATGTGAATTAACACAGTCGCTGTGTCGGACAATGTTTTCGTGCCACAACCTCCTGTATACCAGGGGAGGTAGTTAACATCTCGCCACCGCGGCACCCTAAACTTGGTTTAATCACGGGTGGTTGATGCCTAGATTTGAACCCAGGATCTTAGCAACGGCAGCTGAGTGCTCCGGCCTCCGAGCCCCTCGGCCACCTCCTCGCCTCCTACCTGTACTTGATCTTGGTGTGTCCGGGGAGGTCGCGACTCGAGTACTGCTTGGACAGGGCACTCAGGTCCCCGCTGCCCTCACCTTTGCCCCTCCCGCCCCTCGCCGGCTCGAACGTGGGGCGAGCAGCAGTTGTCATCGCAACCTGGTCAGCATGGCAACATTGTCATCATCACCTACCATAAAAATCATCATAGACATGAACATTACATTCCATATCTGTATTATCACCAACACTTTTGTAAAAAAACGTGCCATCAGTATAATTCATATTACCAGCATGACTTTGAGAGGCTGTGTATGAAAAAGTACTTCGGTTGTTAAACGACAACCAGTACACCATTAACCTGGCCTTCTCCACGTCTGCTCAGATTGACATTCGTACATGGTGTAGTATGCTTACAATGATCACTCGGGAGACAGACAGCCGGGTGTGGTACTGGTCACGCCACCTCCACGTGCCGCACCAGTCTTAATAGGTGATCGCTTGCAATACGTACCAACATAGTCTATTTGGCTATAAAATATATATCTTTGTGTGCGAGCTATATGTATTTATGTGTCTCTGAATGTGCTCGTATCTGTGTGCACCTGTGCTTATGTACATGTCTGTGTCCGTGTGTAGCTGTGCTTGCGTATTCATTTACCCGCGTCTATAGATGTTTGCGTGCACTCTTACTTAAGTGTTTGTCTGTGCCAATACATGCGTCTGCGTCCGTACATTGCTTATGTATGCCTTTGTCGAGATATACATGTGCGTACTCATACGCGTTTGAGTCTACGAGTGGTCAAGCCCTACTCGTACACAAAATAAGAACGTTACCTTGGGACAAACGCGGCGTTAATGGAGCCGCACTGCTCGTCAGGATATCACATCACACTGATATTTGCCGAATGTTAGTTTTTTACTTGTGTTGGTCGCAATAATCACAACAGTAGCGGGATTCGCGTCTGGGCCTAACAGTGGCGGGGTGTGGGGAGCCTCGACATCGCCTGGTTTCGCACGCACGACGGGCGCCTTGAACGCCGCCGAGTTCCAGTCGAGAACGCAAAGGCCTCGCCGAACACTGGGGATAAAGCAATTATCACGCGAAACTCCCGAGCCAAAAAAAACCGGAACCCTATACCAATTGCGACGTAACGTTGCGTACGATTAAGCACAACTATAGTTGCGTCAGTTGTAAGTGCCATTTAAGCATACAGATGTGCAATACCTTTAAAATGATCTACAGGGCGAAGCCTGGATTGACTAGGCCTCAATTTCAAACACTGCCGATGTAACCGCTGCAAGCGTCCTCAAAACAAAGACCACCTTTCGGGGTAACACAGAACGAAGGCACTCGAGTCGCAACATCGACAGAGCCTCCGGCGAGTACCGTAAGAAGTTAGAAGACGAAACGTTTCCTTACCTTTTTTTATGCCCAAAAGCGCTTTCGCGAAACCGCGGGGGCCTGACGGAGAGCCCGGACCACGTGACCGGCTCCTTGACGTCACTTCCGCCCTCGGCGCGCACCCTACACGTGCGTTCGCAAACTCGCTGTCATATTCTTGGTTCTTTCGGTAAAGTCACGTGGTTTTCACACCTGATGATGATGATAATTGCTTGTGTTGCAAATTCGTGAGAATTTTATTGTTTTATATTTTTATTATTTTGTTTCCCTTCTACGTGGTGACTTTACCGAAAGAACTAAGAATATTAATCCCTGCAGTCACGAAAACTTTAAATCAAAATTCGCTGTGTTTTTGTCACGTAAACAGAATATGACAAAGTTTGTCACACAGAACATGCCAAAGTTTGTCACACAGAACATGCCAATTGGTTACTAGTTCAGCACTCACCGGTTGTGTGTTGGAGAGCAAATCCACAGCATTTACAATCTTGAGTACGACGTTTCACCAGTAATTGCAACCGGCATCATCAGGCGCACAGCCAGATTTGTGGAGAAATCCTCCTGTTTCGTTCCCAAAATAGAGGGAAGGATGTGATGGCGTTACTTGTGAGCCCTTCTTGTGCGAAGTGGGGCGGGGGAGGTTAATGAATGCATATAAATTGCGATATAACCCCCAAAAGCCTGTATTATGGATGATATTGGTGGCGAAAGCCCACGTGTTAAACTCGCTGTGGGTCTAATGCGGAGGGGGATGCCAGGTGGGGGAGCGGTGGCGTAGCTGTTAGCGCAATTCGCAACGAACCCGGCCACCCGAGTTCGATTCTCGCTCGCGGCCAACACACTAACACGACCAAACCTTACCGGCTGTGTCGGGTGGTTGGAGGGTTACGACACATTTATACTTGCGCGATCTAACCCAAATTTTTGTATTATGGCCAAAATGTTGATTATATAAACCGGTCATGGGCCTTGCCCTAGGTAGACTCAGCCTCAAATGAGTACCTGGTGTGGTGTGTATTTCCGCCCTTCATAGGTGCTCGCTAACAGCACTTGCCCCAACAGTCTGTTCAGGCTATACGGGGAATATTTGTCTTTTGTACGAGGTTGAAGCCCTCATCGAGCAGTGGCTAGACCATGGCTGATGATGATGATAACGGCAGTACGCTGCAGTCAGCAAAGTTCGGTCTAAATTTGAACAATTTCCAGTTCTGAAACGTGCTCAACAACACATCGGTTTGACTGTAGCGGACCCGTACATGTGCCGCTAAACCTCCACCCCACTCTCCTGCCTCTCCAAGCCTGCTGCTTGTCGGTGGGTAGGGGAGGCGGCGAGCGGGGAGTGATTTGACAGCGGAAGATTTGACAGCGAAAGAAGCAACCAGCAAGGCGAGCAAAACGTCGCAGGGTGCCATGGGCGGAGTTTGCGGAAGCGGCGGCGGGGGGGGGAGGGCAAGGGGTGGGGGCAACGCCCCTCCCAAAGACTTGGCCCATTTATTAATTTATTTTCAGTACTTTACAATTGAGATTAAACATGTGTAGAGGTGTTAACTACGCGCTGTTGCGTAACCTGCGTTGCCACCAGGGCAGTGCAGCATTACCCCTGGGTACAACGGTTGGGGTCAGTCGAGGTGAAACGGATCGTGGCCAGGGTTTGGTGCGAACCAATCAGACGGTTCCACGTGGGAATGTGTGATTGGTTCTACCTGGCCACGAAGGGGTATAAGACGGGTGACCCAACGGACCTCGGGGAGTTCTCTCCCTGCACGAAGACAGAAAACTGGGCTGAAGCCTAGCTAGGACCCTGGACCAGCCTTTCAGCCCTTCTAAGGGCTAAGGCTTGGCATACCCAGTGGTCAGGACCCACCGGGCCAGCGGTGGGTCAGATAGCCTCCCCTAGGTCCTAGCCGGAGGACTAGGATAGCGGTAGACGTGTGAGTCCCGCCAAGTCCGGAGGTTGTACCTCCTTAGGTATCAAGGAGGTTAGCGGTAGACGTGTGAGTCCCGCCAAGTCCGGAGGCTGTACCTCCCTAGGGTATCGGGTGAGGGGACCGAATATCCCTCTGTGTGTGTTAAGCATTGTATAAGGAAATAATACAATAAACAGTGTGCCTCCATAAGAAGTCTGCTGGTCCTTACAACACTACACATGCATTCATACGCACCCGCGATTCCTAATACGATGGACTTAGCGAACCCCTGCCCCCCCCCAATATATAGAAGTCAAACTCCGCCTATGCACCGTACCGAAAGAGCGTGTGGTTCAACTCGAATAAACGCAATTGGAGAGATCCCTTTTGGCGTCCTCTGGTCTAACACCGTTTTGAGACGAGGCTCAAAAGAAAGCCGTCTCTGGTGTGGACCAATCAGTTTCAAGGACAATGCCAATATATTATCAGAGTACGGTTTTTTTTTGTTTGCATTCTGACCACAAGTATTGTGGTTAATGCAGACATGACTCCTTGTAAAAGGTTTCAGTTTGGTGTTTTATAACATCTTAACACCTATTTTGTTGCCAGAAAAAGGGGGAAAACCTATTCTCATATTTTGGTACTGGCAAAGGAGGTCCCATGATGTAGAATTGTCACTGTTGTTGTCCTGCGTGCTACTACTTACCCAATAAACCCGTTGTTCAATTTGTAAGAGGGAACTAATTGAACGATTGCAGTGAGTGGCAGCTACTGGCCACACGCAGGGCCCGATTGTGTTGAGAGCCTTGAAACGATGGTGGAACTCAGCAACGGAGGTGTCAGATATTGCGAAGATCTGAACAATGTTCTCCCCGGGCTGCGCTGACTTTCTTTCGGCAGCGCTGCCACATCGCTGCACAGAAAGTCAATTGGAGTTTCAGTTTCATTTATGTTGGTATAGCCCTGTGAGCCATTCGGCTCTTGAATCGGGTGCAACCGCAACAAACAAAAAAAACATTAACAAGAAAAACATCTTAAAGTGACGATGTTGGACGGTTGAGGTTGAATCCCTTCTATCGATGCCCCCCGCCTCCCACCTTCATGGCCTATGCAAGGAGAAGCACAGAACCTTGCCCAGAGGGTATTCCACACCGAAGCACTGCACGAGTTGGAGGCTGCACGCGGCTCCCCGAGTTTCCCTCGTGGGTCAGAGGCGACCCGGTGTTCTCTGCATCAGACCCCGAACCGGGATTCGCGTAATTTGGGTGACGTTCGGGGTTGATGCGGAGCAGGTGTATTGTTATTTTTTTCTTCGTTGTTGTTTATTAGTGTGTTGTGGAAAATATTAAAGGGTTTGTTACAAGAGGTGGTGGTTTTTCGGTGAACCGATCTGAGTGGCCGTGCTCTACAGAGTTCGTATGGCTGGGCGGCTTCACGAGTGGTTTTTTTTGGGAGGTCTGGGTGGACCCCAACCAAACCCTCACCTTGACCCTCACGGGACTCCCACGTCACAGGGGCGGACGGGGAAGTGCTGCCCTCTACTGTATGGACAAGACTGAATTCTGTCAATCACAATCTGGTAATCGAGCGGAGAATTTAACAAAGCGGACTGCTGATGCGACCCAGAAGGTCGAAAACTTGTCCCAAGCTTGATGTAATAAATGATACTGGCTGATGTTCATCAGGAAAGCCAATAGGCCGTTGGATGTAAACATTTGTATTTATATCATGGAACTTTTTTTTGCCAATATCAAAGTATGAAAAATAACAAGAGGTTTTACCCTTTCTGGCAATACAACAGTTGTTAAAATGATCAAACACCAAAGAGAATCAAGTCTGCATTAATCACACGTACTTGTGGTGAACATGCAAACATGTAGGTGCTCGCCCCGAGCTATAAATCATCTGATAGTGCATTGTCTTTGTGCTGTTCGTCCTGTGGCGTTCTCTGGGCATAGAGAAGGCTGTCTCTGTTGGAGGCCAATCCGTTTCAAAGACAATGATTATCATATCAGAGCATAAATCGTTACTTAAAGCTTTCGTGACTGCAGGAATTCATATTCTTTGGGTCTTTCGGTAAAGTCACGGAGATACGTCCTGACGACGAACGCTTGTGTTGCGATCGAAACATCGTAGTTTTTTTATTTTCTTTGAACTTATCTACGTGACTTTACCGAAAGACCCAGAGAATATATCAGAGATTGAGAATACGTTTTTCCCCATTTTATCTGGCAACAAAACATGCGTTAAGTTGTTAAAACACCAAACTGAAACCTTTTACAGGAATCATGTCTGCATTAACCACGATACTTGTGGTCAAAATGCAAACAAAACACACTGATAATATATGCAGTCTTTGAAACTGGTTGGTCCACACCAGAGACGGCTTTCTTTTGAGCCTCGTCTCAAATGGTGTTCGACCAGAGGACATGATTCCTTGTAAAAGGTTTCAGTTTGGTGTTTTAACAACTTAACACCTGTTTTGTTGCCAGATAAAAGGGGAAAACTTATTCTCATATTTTGGTACTGGCAAAGGAGGTCCCATGAAATCAGAGCATGTTTGTTTGCATGTTTTGTCACAAGTACGTGTGGTTAATGCAGACTTGATACCTGGCAAAAGTAATATATCTGGTATCTGAACATCTTTACACCTGTTTTATTGCCAGAAAGGGTAAAACCTATTCTTTTTCCATTTGTATTTATATGTTGACAACAGCCGTGTATGGATGCGTTTACCCAAAACGCTCCACTACACCGTGAGTTAGCGTACACAATTTCGTTTGCAGGTCACACGTCGACGGGGAACCCATCGTTTACATGGCGTGTTCTTGCCAATAACATATCTGGGAACTCGGCAGCTGTTCGGCATTTTTTTTAATCACAAGCCTGACTTTGCTGACCCAATAAGATCGAAACCGGACCAGTTTGCTTGAACAAAAAAAAACCCGCTGCTGGTTACTATTGATGTGGAAAGCCAAGAAGCGGCCCAGTACACTAATACTTGTGTTTATATGTGGAGACAGGTATTGCGCTTATACAGCGCTTCAAATTTGTTGTAACACTTATAAATATTTGCAACAAT